TTCAGATACGTTTTGCTGATAAGTGCCAATTATTGCGAAATCTATATCAAACAGGGTTTTTCTCTGACTACTTTTAACCACCTCATATCAAGATATAATGCACATAGACTAGTAATTATATGATTTGCAAAAAGAACAACAGAATTCAATGGACCACAGAGAACTAGAAAAACATGATACTAGTCACTACTAAGGGATAACTCAATGTATATATATGTGTATGTTTACATTTAAACTATCTGAATGGTTGTTCAGTTAATTCCGTGCAAAACAACCTAATATGTAAATCAAAAATACAACTTATTTGTGATATCAAGGACAGTTTGTCACCTAAGATTCACTTTACACTTTAAATATATTCTCAAATGAGGTTTAAAATAAACCTATCAACTAATAGTTACTAAAGATATATGAATAATTTTCTCTCAGGAAGATCTGGATAAATCTGAATATCATAACAGAAAAGAAGTGGAATTCAATGAATATGTATCTATATTTTTTCCATCCGATTACGCTCCTACTATTTACCATAGAAATGAATATCTGTTGATTAAATAAATTAAAGTAGACCCATGAATATATATGATTTGAATGATAGCTTATTGTAAAGTAATACTACGCTTTCAAGTATAACTAGTTATATTTTCTCTAGCAAAAATGAATATACGGAAATTGTACTGTAGTGAATGAGAAAACAGGCGGGGACTACCAAATGTATTTTAATACAACATTATAGAATATCTTGGCAATATCTGAGAAGCATACAGTAAATACTTCATTTGCAAAGTATTCATCAGTTATCTCAGACGTTGTTGCTCCTTCGTTTCCATACCAATAACTCTCTGTTCTTGTTCTCTTCTCTTTGATTTCCTCAACCTTCTGTTGCCAGGCATTCCATTTTCGATCGGTGATGCATACGACTACTTATATTATGTAATAATGTATTAAAATACATTTGGTTGTCCCCGCCTGTATTCTCATTTACTACAGTACATTTATTGCAGACTATAGGTTATATATTTTTGAAATTAAAAGTTGATGAATAAACCACGTTAATGACACTTGGTAATGACCATGAAAATATTCTATATATTACCATACAATTAGAGATTTAAGTGTTATTCTACTGTCAACGTGGATAATTAATATTTACTATGTGAATGATAACTGTAGCTATTAAAATAAATGAATAGAATACAAATCGATAGATATTATACTATCCTACAGTGTGGCTGAGTACTGGCTGTTCAAGAGATCGAATTATTATCGTGAACTCCCAATTGTTTTGAGATCAATAACAAGACTATTATCCAACAAAGTAGGTGTTTTATTTCATAAAATAATATAGTTATATGGAAAATATTCATCGAAAAATATAAACCATAAGGGATTGAAGAAAATCTCTGAATTAATTAGGACATTGCCTACTATATCAATCAGTTTATTGGTGCGATCAGTATAAAATCATTTTTGAGTAACTAAGTGAAAATAACTACATATCATTTATCAACATATTATTTAAATAACTAATCGTGTATACATTCTCCAGAGAAACCATGGATGTAATAATTGATGAAATGAGATCAACCATCAATAAATAATATAGTATACCGTTGGAACTAGATGAACTGACCATTTCGACCAATAACGCTTTCATTATAAAAGGATGATTAAAATACAGGATGATGTAAAATACGGTAATGTGGTTAGCTGACAAATACTTACGGAGTAAAATGTCGTAACATGTTATACTTACTAAAATGAAGCAAACTAACTAATCTCATCATTACTTCTCATCTAAATATAATGAAACACTTTGTTATGTATGAAATTATAATACATTAGTGAATCAAGTTTATATGCAGTATGATGAAGTGGCATACAACTCCATATAAATGATTCCCTAAACAATTAATGTATATTCTAGATACCGGTTCAGGTTATTTCTATTATGATCAAAAACACCAAGTTTTGTCGTATAACAAAAATTATACTAGTATTCAAACAAATATTATAGACTTTGATAAAGAATTGAAAAGAATAACTATAATCATTACCCTTAAATTATACACACTTATAGAGATCAATGCCAAAGTTAGACTTGATCTTCTCAGATAAATTGATCATTGGGTAGAAAGTTAATGATAAATATATTTCCGTTATATCCCAATGGACAGAAAAATTGTATTTCTGACGTTTCGTGACTTAATTTAAGCCACTTCTTCAGAGTAAACAAAGATCCGAATCAGTAATATTTCTTAAAACACTCAGTCGGATAATTAATTCTTCTTATCAAGTATAAAATCAATAAAATGCTTTGAAAAAAATAACCTTGTAATTTTGTAGTAATTGGTTATGACATTTTAAAGAAACTTATTTGTACTACTGTCATAGTCTAGAATTGACCAACTTAAAATGAAAAACTTAAGCTGCCATTTTTTTCGTTATTGTAGTGATAGAAGCAGCCGGTATAAACTGGAAAAATGCTTAATTATGCTTAAAAACAAGTTTGAAATCAAAGTACACTATTAAATATTATTTGTAATTCCTCAACTATGTGCTCATTTCAATCTGTAAATTAATAATTAACAGGATTGAATCCACTGAACATTTTCAGAAATATCTTTGTTATATTGAGTGCAATTAAATGTATTTCGTAAATGTCATGTATTTTGCAGACAAACACAACTAAACTAAGTTGTTTGTAAGCAGTTTATCTGAATGACATTAATTTAATATTACTAACCATTGAGTACTAGTCGATTTGTTCTGCTCTAGTTCGATCATTTCTAGCCCGGATAAATATACATTTCTACATGGAAATGAATAATAAACCTTCAGATCTTATCTCAAACACGACACATTTAAACCAAATGACTGAAATCCGTTAACATGCACTTCCTAATCCGACCAATCGGCTGAGGTTATCTTACTAAGCGCATTGTATCTATCAATGATGATCATTTTTTTGTTTATTGGATCAGTGAATGCTTTATATTAAGACTTAATTTTCAGTAGATTTCTTATTACTTGCTTTGGCTTCCCTTATATTTATGTCCTTCATCTTGCTTGTTCATAGCAGACATATGAGCCACGAAATAAAGCCCTTGGTGAAAATTATATTTAAACATACAGTAACAGCCCCCTAAATTAACAGAAAAACGACAGAAAGTGCTGAATACATCGTATTTATTGAAAATTCAAAATGATCTGGATAACCTCATTCTTTTTATAAAAAACATACTATTTTGTTTGATTTAGGCAAATAATTTTGAATCCATAATCAATACAACCAACTGTTTTGTACTAGATTGGTTGCATCCACAAAGCTTCAGTGATAATTAAGTCATCCTTGAAAATATAAATTCGGTATTTTGTGGAAAACAAACTAAATATCAATAGGCAAGAAACATTTTCTTTAGAAAGAGTCTCCTTTCCTTGTTAAAAATTTTTGACCATAAATTTGGTATCTGTGAAAATGTGTCATGTAGAATTAGATTTATTCTTCTCAATCATCACAGAATTGTCTCTTTTGTGTACATTTTACAATAAGATCTTTTGATTAAATATGTAAAACTACATGGTTTTATTAAAGTAATATTAACCATACTTTTTCTATTTATGACGATAAAATAGCCATCAAAAAGTTGCCATTACTACTCATGACATTCCAACCTTATATTGTAGATTATCATGTGGTCGCTAGTGACTAACTTTGAGGGGAAATTTATGGAGTTTTTGTGAGAATCCGTGACCAGTGGATTTCAGTCGTGTTAAGTATGAGGCCGTTACCCATCAAATGCAATGAAATACGGTTGCGTAATACTTTAGACTGATTAAGAATAAACGCTAACACTGTTGGATCCCTAACAGATGGTCTAGAGTTTAGGAGCTCGCGCGATACCGAAGGTATGGGGATCGAATCCCGAGTGCGGAGCCGTGAAAATGCACTACCGAAGAGTCCTATACTGGGAAGAGACGGCCACCTAATGCTCGCAGGTTTCCAATGGTGATCTAAATTAGATTGCTTCATGATTTCAGTGACATACCTAACTAGTTGAATCATTAGTTGTGAGATAGCTCAAGAACTTGTTTCCCTGTTACTTATCACTTTAAAACTGGTGCTTGCTCTCTTATTTGAATCGTTACCACCTGGTGCCACAAGTATGGAGATCATTGTGAGTCATTCGGTTGGAAAGTGACCTTCTACAGAACTGAAGTATTTGCTAAGCAGTATCTGGATATTAAAAATAGTTTGATTTGCAGAGTCTTAAAATATTATTAAAATATAAAAAAATGACCAGAATCCAATACTTCCATCCTAATTTTAAATATCCCCGTAACTCAAGAGTTTTATTTTTATTTTCTGAATAAAATGAAGTATTTTGAAGCATTAAAGCAATCAGGTATTTATATGTTCTAGGACTGATAATATCTACCAATCACAGATGACATCGGTTACCATTTGTGTTCGTTTATAATTTTAACTCCACCAAAATCACTTTTAGAAGAATTCTTACCTGATAAGCTAAATTGTCGTACACCGACAAATATTAAAACTATATATTTCTGTATATTTTTATTTAAATGATCGTATTGTCGTGTGTGATACTGATGTCGTCAGATATAAGCAGTATATATCATCAGTCAAAAGTGAAATGCCTGATGATGGAAAGTTAAGATCGAAGAAAAAATTACGAGAACAGGAAATGATTGGTTTGAAAATGAAGGAACAATCAAGTCTGAAATGATTGGTTGACATTTTGCAAATGTAGTATTTACTGTATAGTTTTCAAATTTTACTAAGGTATTCTGTAATTTTGTATTCAAATACATTCAATTGTCCCCAATTGCGTTCTCCTTCATTACAGTACAAAAGATTCATTTAAATATCCTTATATTAGTAATGATATTCTTAAGTTATTTGTACTTTATTTACAGTTGAAAGGAGACATAATCAAGAATGATTTATTTCTTTTATTTTCTTTCCAAACTCATAGTATGAATTCAAAGAAAAAGGCATTAAGAAACAGAAGGTTTTAATTAAAATTTCCGCTGATGGTGTTTTTATTTATTTAAGAAAAAAACCAAAAGTAAGTCTACAATGATTTAATTGTTAACTTAATTGATATTTAATGTAATTTTAATATTGAATTGAAATGATAAATTAATCGTAATAATTTGTACTTGTATTATAAAATTTTATGGTTACAGTTGATGTTTGTTGTAGAATGATATCAGTTGAATTGTTATGAATTAAGATGAGTTAGTTGTTTGTAGATCTTTAGTTTTCAGTAATTCTTCGATGAAGTAAAATTGATCTTAGTATTGAATTGATCGTCTTAACTTAGGTTGTTTGTTTGAATTCTGGCACAATATTGTTTTATTTGTTAACTTGTAGACTATTTACGCATAAAAATAGTGGCTTGAAAATAGATTTTAAAGAGTCTTATTTGATTAATATTAACCGCATTTAATTTTCAATGTCATAATATATGAATCCTGGATATCTTTCATGTAATTTAACACGGGATCTAGATTTCACTGTGTCGAATAGTGCAAAAATCGTATAAGGACAGCTATTATCTGGTTTTCAATGGTTCACTAACTGATGTTGATGCAGTGTGAAATGTGTTCCCCATCTATACAGAACCCTGTTATGTCGGTTGCTATGTTAAATCTACAATTTATTTAGCTTCTGGATAGACCAATTTATCCATTCTTCCTGAGTCACATTTTGACCTTGTTAATTATTCATTTATCAACCTTGACTATTTTATATAAGCACATATGTGTGCCCTTCTTATCCCATTCATCACATGTCTGTAGTTTACTTTTATGTGACTATAAATATCGATTCACGCTTGATTAGATGGAGTTAGTTCACACGCTTTCTCCATTGCGCGTCATTTCATTTCGCTTTGCTCTTCTATTCGCTTCTTCCCTTTGATTGTCTGTTCCGGTTCACGATATTACACAATATACATATTTAAACATCCATTCTCATATTTAACTTATTTAATTCCGTCTTTTACTAACGCGATCTAAGTCGATAGTTATATACGAGGATAGGCGACATATATATTTCGATAGCAATCATTCAATAACAAGCATTCACATAATCTATCTGGAGCCAGATTTCGGACAACAAAGACAAAAACAAATCAAATATATTATTGATAAGCATTTGTAATGTCCTGTTGTTGATATTTAGGATCGTAATTCTTTAGCGTTTATTGTCATACGTGCATCCTAACGAGGTCGCCTCGAAACGGAGTTATTTCACAAAACTTTAATACATTCATTTTGTGGCTGGCGGGAAAATCCGGAAAACCCGATTTAAAATCCATCAGTCGTATATTTCTACATCTCTACAATAATGATCACGTTGGAACATAAACCAACTACTTTAAGCTCTACCGAACTACTGAATCCCCATAGCAATCAAATTGTCATACGAGTAAGAAGTTTAATAGAAATTACTCATTTTTAATAATCAAAAACGTTGAAAATTCTGTGTAACTATCAACAACAGATAAAAATGAACTTAAGTAGTGAATTTTAAACAGTTCCAAATACAAATCATAGAATTCTTTTCTACATATATGTGCCATTCCTTATTTCATTTTCTCTGTATATCTTTTCTTAAGTTTGGAAAGCTCTTGTGTTTTGATTGACCTAATAACAGTAACATTAACAAAGGTGTTAACTAAATAATAAAAAGTTTATCATCATCATCAGTGAATGGATTCAATCCCTTAGGCTTAATGACATAACGATTACATAATGAAAATATATATTTAGATTGAGTAATTGAAGTTTTCTCACTAATTCATTTATAATATTGAACAACATTAAATTAGTCATCTTGTAATGCTAAGAAAACTTGAGTAATTTCCAAAGAAACATGGATTAAACAATCTGGTGAAGAATTTGTCTATTGGGAATAAAGTCACTTAAACTATACTGAAAATGGTCGGTATTTTCAAAAAAGATCATCTATGACTAATCATATACATAAAGAAGATAATATATGTTTATGAATTGTTTATTTTACGAAATGTGAAAAAAGAGATTTTATTACTTCAATTCATAGTTAAATGCTTGTTGCATATAGAAATCTTAATAGCAATTTACTGAAGATATTCAATCATAACTGTTATTGTAATTAGTTTGGTCATAAAAATCTATCATCTATTTAGCTTAATCTTCTATTTCAGACATAAATAATACATGTTTAATTTCAACAGTTGAGATCATGAGTCAATTGAAGCTAGATCACCATGGAAAACCTAGAAGCACTGGACGGCCGTTTCGTTCTCGTGCGGTACTCCTCAGCAGTGCGCATCCACGACTTCGCCTCGCGAGATTCGAACACAGGAGCTATCAGTCTCGCGCGTGAGTACTTAACCACTAGACCTTTCAGCTGGCCGGCATCCAACAGTGTTAATGTCTAACTTCAACTAATCCACGAAATCGAACGATACATCCACTAGTGTAATCAGTGAGTTACTATCTCACAAATCACTCGGTTGAGCTCCACCAGTCACTGTTTCTCACTAGACCGATAGGTCCTTGGTTCAAATCTCGCGAGGCGGGGTCGTGGATGCGCACTGCTGATGAGTCCCGTACTAGAACAAAAGGGCCATCCAGTTCTTCCAGGTTTTCTATGGTGATCTAGCTTTAATCGACTCATGAACTCAACTGTTGAAATTACTACAATCTCCACAAAACCCCTTCTGACACAAGTTTAATTATTGGATAAGTTTTGAAAAAATTCAGGAAAAGGAATACCTTAGTAAAAATTTATTTATTCCATGATCTTTGAGGGTGTTAAATTTTATTGATTATTGTTACTTATTTTATAAACGTAATAATACCTTATTGTTAATGAAGACTGTGTGTCCGTATACGGATGGTAGTTAATTTATAAGGATATTTACTTTTCCACTCAGTATTTGATGTAAGTAACTGTTTACTATAGTGAGGAAATAGGATGCATATTTACAGATTTTATGGTATATGGATTTTTTTCTTTGAGAAATAATCTTCGTTAACATTTAACTAGTAATAAGAAATTCTTTAAATCAAATTATTCTAATTCTTTGAAGTTTCACTACAAAAAATGATCTTATCTAGACAATCATTGGGAATTCGGAGATACTGAACAATCATTTTTCGCAAGTATGAGACATTTTTAATGGCTCTCATTCATGAATTCATTTGAAATTACAACCATGATCATCAAGCTTCAAGGTTAAGGTTTAATTGTCAGACAGCCAGATTAGTGTTAGATGATTTAGATTTCTAAATTTAGTTGACTTAAATGTCCAGAACAAATTCCCCAAGTTTGACTGAGAAACCTTAACTAGAGAAGTTTAACCATGTTGAGCATTAGACAGGTATCACAAATGATAATGGGTGATATGCTCTGATAGTCACAAATAGATTGAAGATAGAAATGTTAGACATTAAATGCCAACTCAAATGTTGCAGAGTTAAGCTATCCACCTGACGCTCGGAAATTCTGAGTTCGATCACATACACCACCTACTACGTTAGACATCGGAGTCCTGTAAAGATTTTTTTATTGATTCGTTGTTAAGAAGTTAAGTCCCGAAAACTTTCGATCTTCGAAAGTCAACTACCGTTACAGTATTTCAATTGATTATGTTTATTTATACATCTCATGTCTATCGCATTATTAAGCTAAAAAAGACTAATCTAAGAACAAATTATTAAGAAGAAAGCATTATCTGTTCAAGAAAAAGTATTTTCAAGGTCGAAGATCTTTTAATGTTGAACTGAGAATAATATATCCTGATAAATTATTAAACTATTCGTATAGTAATAGAATAACCACAAGGATTCATATGATTTGGTTATATATATACTTAGACTAACTAATATTTTTTGAATGAATTGCAGTCGGTAGTGTAATCCAGAACGTATGTTTTATTCTATTAGGGATTTATCAGCTGGATGTGGTTGTATCCCAATGTTGATATTCACATTTCAAACAAAACCCAGTACTTTTAGCTTTCAAAAAAGAACTGAATTACAAAGTAAAGATAAGGTCTCACCCGGAATACCTACTGAGAACTGGTACAATCCTGTATTTATTACGTCCAATAGTATAAAATTGGACGACTATGTTAAGATAATATATGAACTAACAAAATAGTATTTGTTTTCATGATAGAACTTTCAATTCTATAATACAACAAAAAATAATACGAGTATGTGATGTTTGTCTTCTACTCACTGTTTTACTTACATCAAAGAAAGATTAAACAAGGTTTAGAAAGTTACATGTGCAATACTTTTCTGAGTCATAGATAAAAGGTGCTAAGAAGTGCCCTATCAAAACAAAACATCTGGCCAATATTAATAGATTTTCAATGGCTGATTAAACAAAATCAATCAAAGATGTAAAATGAAAGTCAAAACAGCGTGATTATTAAATGTCTACACAGTATTAACCAACCATGACGTCCAGTTCTAAGTGCTGTTCAAATTTTATTGTTCAGGTTACTATATCGTTATTGGCAAAATATAAAGTTATGATTCATTGCACATTATCAAGTATTGCATGATTGGAAGCGATCGACAAAACTCTTCGAGCCTGCATACCAATTTCTATGATTTCAGTAGCACCTAAATAGCTCTATGACAGAAGTTCCAACATTAACTGTTTTATATATATTTAAAGCACTTGTAAACCATTGATTCCCTTCTAGCTGACAAGTAATAATCTGTGTTTAGGGATTATATTGATTGTCTCCAATCAAATATAAGATTGGCAGAAAGGTGTTTTGTAGAGATTTTAGTAATTTTATAGTTGAATTCATGAATCATGGAAAATCTTAACGGCCATTTCATCCTAGTGCGGAACTCCTCAGCAGTACACATCACGATCCTGCCCCGCGAAATTCGAACCCACAACCCATCGGTCTCGTATGTGAACGCTTAAACTCTAGACCACCGAGCCGGCCGATATCCAACAGTGTTCAAGTCTAACTTCAACCAATCCATAAAATCGAGCCACTGTCAACCATGAATAAATTAACACAATTTATCTTCACTAGAAACT